TTGAGTGCAAGCTTTTTCATTCCCATCCAGACCCTGACAGCCTCTAGGCACTGATACATCACTTCCACTGCTTCACTGAGTTGGCACGGGGCGGACAGATACAGCTGAGTATCGTCCGCATATTGATGGTATTTTATCCCGTGCCGACGTATGATCTCGCCCAGCGGCTTCATGTAGATATTAAATAGGAGGGGGGACAGGACTGAACCCTGCGGCACCCCATAATTGAGGGGCCTGGGGGGTCGATCTCTGCCCTCCGACCAACACCGACTGCGACCTATCCGAGAGGTAGGAGGAGAACCACCGAAGAACGGTGCCTGGGTGAACCAAATCGAAGAACCAGAGAAAAAAGGGATATGTGATGGTGTTAAATGTTCCTCTGTGAAGAGGAACTGAACAGCTCTATGTACTCAATAAGGTGTTGTGCCTTTATAATGTATAGAATGACAGAAAGGGCACCAAGGCTATTCAAACCCACTGACAAGAATCTTTTCATTTGTCCATGTGAGAATGAATGACAAAAAATCCTGAAAGGAATTTCTGGAGACTATGAGACTTTGGACGTGAAAGTGAAGGAAATAGCAGCAAATAGATTTTTCATCAATGTTTCAACTTCAGGGTCATGGTGAAAGAAAACACAATCCTGGAAGTCAAAATCTGGCTACACAAAAGGTGTCACCGGGGATCTTGACAATGGTTTGTGCCAGTTTCTCAACCTCTGCAACGTTAATACACATCTTAATATTGGAAAAGTTGAGAAACAAGTGGTCTATGCCATTAAAGATTTTTAGAAGAAGATTCTTAGGGTGAAAAACGCAAGGAAGGAAATATTTGGCAGCTGGTTCACAAACTTCATTAGAATAGTATAAAATTAGAACAGGGAGATTGCAAAAGCTCAGAATCAAATATGTGGCTACTGTATGGATGAATGCCAAGAAAGTAGAAGACAAAAGCAATGGGATGGGCAGAATGAAAACTTGGGAGTTTTGCAGAAAACAAGAGTGATAGGTGGTATTCAAAGTTTTAAATTATTGTGGGAAATAAACAGAGAACTAGAGATCTTAATTAAGATGATAAACATGTTAGAAGCAATCTTGAAACTTGATGGAATGATACTCATGAGTTGCCAAGTACTGAAAAATACAATTCAAAAGGATAATTTAATTGATCTATAGTGGTGGCCATCTCACAGTCCCAACAGACAGGTGCATATTCTTCTCAGAATCTAAAAATATGCTTAAAATTGAGAAATCAGAGCATGGCAACCATGCCGAGAATATAACAATAGCAATAGGATTTATATACCACTTCATAGTGCTTTAAAGACCTCTCTAAGCGATTTGCAAAGTCAGAATATTGCCCCCAACAATCTGGCTCCTCATTTTACCCACCTTGGAAGGATGGAAGGATGAGTCAACTTTGAGCCAGTGAGATTTGAACTGCTGAACTGCAGCTAGCAGTCAGCTGAAGTAGCCTACAGTACTGCACTCTAACCACTGCGCCACCTCAAGAAACAAAAGTCTCGTTCATTATAGTATCTTTCTGTATCAGATTATTAGTCTTTCAAAGAAATATACAATAATGAGGATTTCAGTTATGCTGACATCTGGTGGGGATGTAACTCTGGAAAGAGTCAGAAGTTTATGGTAATTCTTTTCTTACTGACAACTTTGTCAGAAGGCAGATGAAAGAACAAAGGGGTCTACTATCCTGAATCTAAACCCCATCAACAGGGAAGAACTGGTTGAAGAAATAAAGGTGATTACCTGGAGGAAAGTAATTGTGTCATCCTTGAATTTATATCTAGATAATGGATGTAGATTATGTTTTTATAGTCTACAAAAAGCCTCATGTCTGTTTGCAACCTTCAATTGGGTGAACTTGGAAGCCATAAGGCAATAATTATTGAAACAAGGTAACTCAAATAGGCAATCTTTTACAATGCTGAGACCCATGACATATCACATATGAGAAAGTTGTGGTCACTTTAGAGCCATGTGGTTGCACTCAGATTCTCAGGTTTCCATGCTCCCAGACAGCTTTCTGGAAATCAATGGGAAACCCATCAAGTACTGTGATTACAGACACTTCCTGCAACCTTCCCCATAGAAAGTCTTTGCTTGTAAGAAGCAAAGGGAGAAAGTCAATGGGGAAACTGGCAGGGAAGAGTCCCAAGTTGCCCATGTCTCCCCCACCCCTTCCCCAATCCTGTGCTCATGCCAGCCACTTGCACAACCCCTCATTCCCTCCCCCATTCAGCAGTAGCCAGTTATTACCTGCTGACTTCAGGCTTGTAACTTCTGGTTGACTTTGTGATCCTCATGGGAAAGTTGGTAGGAAGTCTAAACTCCGGATGTCACAGGAAGGGGGAGAGGGGGAAGGGAGGAAAAGAAACAAGACTTCCAATGCTTCCTGCCAGTTTCACAAAAGGAAACTCAATGGGGAATCTGATGGGAAGTCAGAAGTCACTCCTACTGGTTGTTTTTTTCCCTGCCCATGGTTTCTTTATTTAGGTAAGGAAATATCTCTGAAGTGACGACCCAATGGGTCATGGGTTGTCTATATGTATATGTGTCTAGGCAGAAAAAGCCTGATAGAAGAGGGTGGATGTGTATTCACTCTCAGAAATTAGTGCTGGATTATTTAATAAAATATGCACTCTTCTTTATAGGACTATATTGATCATTTATAAAACATTTACTTTTTTCTAAATGTGCAGAGATTAAAATATATGTTCAGAATCCAGTGCATTCAAGACTAAAGGAAAAACAAAAGGAATAGTAACACAGATGTAAACTGGATTATTCAATTTGTTTAATTTATTCCGTAATATCACAACTGTACAACTTTCATACATACATAAGGAAATGCATATCGACTACATCATGGCATGTAGATGCATTTCCAATTATAATACAATTAAGTGCAACTCCACTTGAAAATGTACATTTGTACAACTTATACAAAGTAAAGACTGCTACACTATTATTCTGTGACAGTATAAAGCCTTGATTTATGTTAAGTTTCACTACTAAACCATTTTCTGGTTAAATACAAAATATACTAAATCATTTTTAAAAGGCCTTTCTGGTAGTTGGCCAGTATATAAAATATGTTGTGTAAAATTTAACCGTCTGCATTTTAAAAAATAAGCTTGTAACATGTTGTCATTGAGAGCTATTAAGAGTGACACATTTAACAGGAGCCATGCTGTAACTTCTTTTCTTTTGCTATTGCATCAATCACCATCAGAAAAATTCACCCTGATATAAACATCTGTCTTAGAAACCAAAACCCACTGAAAGCAATGGTCTGTAAGATGTATTAATAGGGTGTATGGTGATCTCTCATAGTTTTAGAATTATTTTAACTGAAACAAAGAACACATACTTCCAAGTAAATAGCCATAAAACCAATTCAGAGTGAAGTGTGTCTAAACCAACTAAAATAAGGTGGTTTAAGCACTCTAGGCTCTTCATTTGATTGTACTTTTCATTGAACTTGCAAATTATGCTGCTTTATTCAAACTACAGAATAATTTTCTGGAAAAACAAGACCACATTCTTCTACAAGGAAGAATGGAAATGTTATTCACGTTTCCATCTACATTTTCACTGGTGAAGTCTTACCAGCTTGTGAAAATATGTTTTTTATAAGATGAACCTGAACATTATTACATGTTAACATTATTATTTTGCTCTATGCCTTGACCAACAGTTCATTTTTTGCTAACAACTGTATCAAAGGAAAAAAAACCAAACGTTTTTCCTACTGCCATTCCTATGACAAGAATGGTTTGATGTATAAATCCTTTAAAAATATACATTTTACAATCCTGCAACCTCAACAAAAAGGTGAGGCAGGAAATAAATATCAGTTCTCAGGGCTTTATTTGCTTCTGATCTATAAACTACCTGTTGTAAGCTCTTTCTTTTTTAGATTTCTCCAGGGCTTTGTCCATTGTTTTCTCATTTTCTCCTCTACATTTGGGACAGTACCACTTGCCTTTGGGTTTATGATTGAGTCCCACACAAGAGAAGTGAAACCATTCAATTGGGCATTCATCATTGTCACAGCCTATCATTTCTCCATAGGAGACCTGGTTACACAAACAATAGGTTGGTTCATTGGGATCAATGGGCAGGTCTGCAGGGGAAGCCTCCCTCTCTGCTTTGGTCTTAGACCTCTTCTTTTTCTTGGAAGTTTTTGCTTTCTTCTCCTTTGGTGTTCCTGAAGTGATGTCATCATGATCATGATTATTAGAAGCATTCTCACGGTTTTCATTATTTCTTTGCCTCCTAGATCGCTTATTGTTGGGCTTTTCTGCCTGAGTCAGTGTTTCATTCTTTGATTTATCTTGATTAGCCTTACCACTATTTCCAGTAATGTCATTGGTCTCTTGACAGGTTTCAAATAATTCTACATGACTATCAACTTGTCTAGTTCTGTTCTCGACGAGTTCTACCATTTGGCTGACAATCTGGATCTTTTCATCTCCCAGTTCTTGACTTCGTATCAGTGCCCTTTGAATACAATGCAATAATCTTCTCTTTTGTACTGCATCTGTTTCCCGTTTGAATTTTTCATAATAGTCATCGAGTTCTTTTAAGATCTCTGTAAAGAAAGAAAAAGGTTATTATTTGTCAGCTTTGTACACAACACAGATTTGATTAAGCGCCATCAAACAGGTTTGCTCAAATAAAAAACTCCCAAAACCTTTCATCATGTAACTTGCTCTACTTCTAAGCACCACTATTTGGAAAAAGAGATGTGTAATTTCTTCTAAATCGAGCTTGACTGCTGCTGATTTCATGGACATGTCTTTTTGGTTTTCCTGGCAACAGTACAGAAGTGGTTTCTTACTGCTTTCATCCAGAATGATTTTTTATGAATTTCATTATCTAGCCTATAGCTCTTTTACTGTATTACTTGGAAGTCTCATATCAGATTATTTATTATTAGCATATGGCATTGTTACATTAACCAGGACACCACAATATTATTGCAGAGTAATAGTTTGGGTGGCAAGGTATCAGATCTGTTGTAGGAAACAAGGTGCGCCACAGGAGGGCAAACTGGCTTCACACAAGAAAGACAGACAAGCAACTCTTCCTGCAGCATCACCTCTCCCTCCCCATAGCTGCCATGCAAACAGATGCTACGGCCGTGAAGATTCAGAGCCGGCAGGAATCTGGTGCACAGAGCATCAACTCGTCTCCCCATCAAAGTGGTACCTATTTATCTATATGCATAGAACATGCTTTTGAACTGTTAAGTGGACAGAAGCTGAGGCGAGTGACAGGAGCTTATCCCGACACGCAGTGCTAGGACTCGAACCGCTGGAGCAGAGACCATCTCCAGTATCATTAAGCCAATGAGCCATGGCACCTCTTCACATTCAGATGCTAACCAAGCACAAACCTGTTTACTTTTCCATCCCAGACAAAATCATCCAGGGACTGTGGCATACTGAGATATAAACTGGAGCCTGGAGATAAAAATATTGGTGGTATAAATTGCTGGTAAGCAAACAAAACAAGCATTCCCTTGTTTCTACTAAACTTGTTGCTTCAAGATTTTACTCAGTGGTTCTGCTTCAAGTCACATAGTTTATTTTGCTCATTATTTAGATATATGCTTCTATTTGTATAAAGCAGTGCTTCCCAAAGTGTGGTACGTGTACCCCCAGGGGTACGGGAAGAGTTTGGTGGGGGTACACATTAAGTCGAAAAAAAGGAACAGACTATTGGATGTGGAACCGCATCTCAGATTAAAATTAACAACCAGGGAACCAAATTATGATAATCTGTCATCTCAACAAAA